CTTCTGGTACTGTCTAGGACAATCTGTACTACTCCAGAACGGTCTAGACAGGTCTATGCCTTACTCATCTCTTACTCATCCTATGGTGCGATACGTCGCAATTCTTTCACCATTGTATTATTCATCGCACTATGGTACATGTGACTAACCACTCTTCGATTAGTCATGGACACTTCTCTGTAGTATATAAGGACTTCAGATTGTGTCCTCCCTCTTCAGTCTTTCCTTACTGACTGAAGAGTGAGTACTTCGTTACATCTATCTCTAACTTGTAGTTACTTACTTGACCTTTGTAGTCTTGCTTCGACTCTAGGTACAGTTGGTTACTGCAATATAGTCTTTCCTTACTGACTGAAGATCTTGCTTCGACTCTAGTCGGATCTAATCCTTGTCTTCACAGCCCCGAGTTTATCAACCTCCTCAACCAACCACACCGTCCCGGGGTCTGCGAGCATCAGCGCACCGGTGGATGTCTCCTCGAGGCGCTTCTTCAGCCTCGTGTCCGTGGTCTTCACAACGTGTTCCATCCACCATGCTCCGCTAGAAGTCATTCATGCGTGCCGCGAGCGGGACACTCCCGTCACAGAAGTCAGCTGGTCGTCAACCTTTCGTCATCCAGTCGAGGTCGGAAGGCAGCAGAGTGGGAGATGTAGTGCAAGGGGTCGACTCGCGGGGAGAGGCGGGAATTGAGAATTTGCGCGAGTCGGAGATACGTATCGCGGAGCTCAGAAACATTCACCTGGGACGTGCGTTTGTACGACAGTGCATGGCCTCAAAGGTCATTTGACGCACCTATAGACCATTCAGTTATTTGACGAAGTATAGTGCCCCGTCTCTTGATTGCACACAACGTCGGAGACACGGCCAACGAACATGCATTACCGCCCCTCGTGTACCAGTGCTGAACCGCAACGATGTATAGGCGCGTTACGGTGGAGAGGATGACTGCCGACAGCTCCCGCATGGTCCCGATCTATTGAACCTTCCACCTCGCAAAACGGACATGGGTAGGATGATCAGGAGCTTGGCACGCCATTATTGATCTTCTGTTCTCTGCTCTCCCATTTCCGCTACTGTTGTACATCCCGCCTGTTCAAGGGAATGCTGTGGCATGTGAGTATGTCAGCCTTGTGCTCCCGCAACGAAGGGGTCGAGGTGTACTGTCCGCCTGGGCTATGAGATTCTCCTGTGTCAACATCTGCGCCTCGCTCTTATGACCAAATGTCACCTATATTGGAAGCTGCAGTACGCCGACGCACACAGCCGGATGCCTCGTAACACACCTTGTTCACAATCTGGTGTTCCTTCGCTACCGTTCCGTATCGCGTGGTCTGTAGCACTATTGCACACGATAACCGTCCCTTGCAAAATAGTACGCACCTTTCAAACCCAATCTTCCATAAACGTCCCTGTCCGTCTAGTCCTTTGGTGGCACGACAATCCAGGCGAATAGGCAGAGATAAATATGATGTACCCTGGGATATGGCCTACGACAAAGAGTACACTGGGCATTGGTACCTTGTAAAGCAAAAGACCTCGTAGGAATTAGCTCGAGTCCTCCCTGTGACTTGCAGATCGGAACAGAGCCCATTGGAGCCCAGGCTAGGTGCAAAGCTAAGGTACCAAGCAGGCGACGGGCGTCAGATATCTGGTAGCGTTGCAGTACTCGCAATACCGCACTCTGAGAAATATGTCAAAAGTGCCCCAGCTTTCATTCGTAGCTTCGTGGTTCCAAGAGCCCCAGACAGTTGATGGCCAGTCATGCAGTATGGTGGTCAGTCGATGACAAAGTCAGATGTCCGGATAGAGCACGTGGCTTCCGGCGGCTCAGACGGCCCGTCACAATCAGGTGACTGGTTGAGTGGTCGCATCATCTGACGTCACTCTCTATGTCGTCTTTGCTTGAGGCCTCTAGACTCGAAAATTTTTGGAGCTGGCTCGTAAAAAAACACGCCCCGCTTCGTTGTTAGACCGCGGGTGCCTTTCATCCCCTCAAGCTCGCGACTTACAGATCCACACCGAGGGCTTTCCCGAACTTATCCTGCCAGAGGTTCAGGGGATCGTTGATGCCTCGTACTGAAAGAATCAGGGCAAAGCAATTGATAAGGGGGCGCGAGCGGGAATAAGACCTCATATAGGTCAGTGAATCATCTTGCCGTAATCGTGATATCAGATAACTTGCTGAGTCTGTATATGCGCCCATGAAAGCCTTCAAGAGTGTCGTGTCCTAGGACGTCTTTCTTGACGCATTCCTGCTCACTCGCTAGTGGTTCGTGACTTGGAGCAGGGTATGTCTCATGGCTATACCGACCAAGTCTACACCATCGACTGGTGCGTCGCGAAGTGAACGCTGATGAGGAGATATATTGCAGTTTCTCCATATGAGTGCAGTATACGAGCTTGGCCCCTCTCTGAAATCCCACTGGAACGTCGCGCTTTCTCGTCGGTGTCTCTCAGAGCCGCATCAGACTCTGAGGGGAGGGCACGTCGTATAGCCGAGCCACCTTCCCACCGGATCCACACGGCACTGCCAGCCTTTGTGCCCTAGTAGAATGATTGATGGGTACCAGCCGGCCAGACGGGCTGAGCGCATTCTGCACATCCAGAGTGATTGATATGCCCAATATCTATCAGTTCGAAGATCCACCAATGGGCATAGTCTTAGCATTGCAGTCAATGTGTCACAGTTTTCTCGTGCCATGTGACCTGGGGGTCATGTGAACCAGGACAGACGCTCACCTTGACCACGGACAGCTCGTAT